AGGTTTCTTGGGAGGGACCTTATGTGATACTGTCTAAGATTTCTGAAGTCACTTATCTGGTGGGGGAAAACCTAGACGGGGGAAGGTGTAGGAAATTACATGTTAATATGCTTAAGCCTTACTACTCCAGGGCTAGGGTGGTTATGCAAGTATCCCAGGAGACAGATGGGGAGATTTCACTGTCGGGATGGGGAAAGGTAACGGCAGATTGTACTCTACCCTCTGTAGATGAGAATACCAACTTAACAGATCCCCAGAAACAACAGTTAAGGGATCTATTGTATCAACATAGGGAGGTATTTTCCAACATACCGGGTAGGACCCACTTAGCTTGTCACCGGATCAATACAGGGACAGCTAACCCTATAGCATCTGCCCCATACCGCGTTACAGGAGAACAAGCCAGACTGATCTCAAAGGAGATACAAGAAATGCTAAACCTTGGTTTGATTGTACCATCGAGTAGCCCCTGGTCATCTCCAATTGTGTTGGTACCAAAGCCAGATAATACCATCAGATTCTGTGTAGATTACCATAAATTAAATCAGGTTACCATCTCTGATGTGTATCCGATGCCGCGAATAGATGAGCTAATAGAGACCATAGGGTCAGCACAATACATAACAACCCTGGACCTCACCAAAGGATATTGGCAGGTGGCTATGCATCCAGAGGACCAGGAGAAGACCGCTTTTATTTCTAAGGATGGGTTGTACCAATTTACTGTCCTCAGTTTTGGGCTAAAAAATGCCCCAGCCACATTCCAGAGGTTAATTGATCAAATGTTAGTAGGGATGAAAGACTTTGTTCAAGCGTATATCGATGATTTATCAATTTATAGCCAGACGTGGGAGCAACATCTGGAGCACTTAGGGAAGGTGTTGCACAAAATCCGGGAGGCTGGTTTAACAGTCAAAGCCTCTAAGTGCCAAATGGCCAGGTCACATGTTAAATATCTTGGACACATAGTGGGAGGAGGTTCCATATTGCCAGATATGGATAAGGTGCAGGCAATACGTGAATGGCCGATTCCAGAAACAAAGAAACAAATACGATCGTTTTTGGGAGCTGTAGGATTCTACAGACGTTTTATTCCTGAGTTTAGTTCTCTGGCGGCAGTATTAACTGATTGTACAAAAAAGTCATCACCGGATAAAATTAAGTGGACACCTGAGTGTCAGACCTCCTATGATTTGTTGAAGAGTGCCTTAATAAGTGAACCTGTTTTGATTGCGCCCAATTTTGAGAAACCTTTTGTTTTAACCACAGATGCCTCCAAGGTAGGACTTGGGGCAGTGCTAGGTCAGGAAAACAAAGAGGGTGTGATGCAACCTGTGCTGTATCTCAGTAAAAAGCTGATAGAGAGGGAACAGCACTTGTCAGTAATCGAAAGGGAATGTTTGGCGATAGTGTGGGCTATCACAAAATTGAAACCCTACTTATGGGGAAGAAGGTTTACCTTGTGCACTGACCATTCACCCTTAAGGTGGTGGTTACACCAGGTTAAGGGCACTAATAACAAGTTAATTCGTTGGAGTTTAGCCCTCCAAGATTACGATTTTGAAATAAAACATATAAAGGGTACTCAGAATGTTATTGCGGATATCTTGTCCAGAGCCCTGAGTGAAGGTGAAGGTTAGGATTGCAAAAGGTATAGTATTTACTGTGTTAGATCGATTATATGCAGTGTTATAATGTGTTTAACATGTTTTTCTCCCTTACAGGAATGTATTTATTTTATATAATGTATTTATGGTATGTATTTATTGCAGAAATGTTTTATTGCATAAGGTGTTTATTGCAAATGTAGGTATGTACAGAGATAGGTAGATTTGCTAGAATAGATAGTAAGGGGGTTAGTTAGGCCTAGTATAGTGTTAGGCTTTGCTTCCGAAAAGGTCTGCAA